CATCACTTCGTTTTACATGACCGGCGGTGTTGTGATGTTTGCATTTTTGATTCCTTTTGCATTGATTTTCATCAACCGGGGAAAGTCTCGAGTCACTCCAATGGTGACAAGAGAAATGAAAGACTAGAAAGCAAAGTGTGCTGCTCCAAGAGCCGATGTGGCAGCCTATAACTTCCCTCCTCAGAGCTAATTAAAAAATATTCGCACTATTGGCACCTAAGACATACACGGGCTGTTAAATTTCGACGCACCAATCTTTTCCATCAAATTCAAGAGAGTCTTTAGAGTAAAAGTCTTTCGTCTTTTATCGTTAAACTGAAAAGCCTCGTTGCCTTTGAAATCGAAGGCTTGTTATGTAAGGAGAATAGCATATGATCAGTTTGCCTTGAACGAGATCTAATTTCATGAACTAAAGCGCTAATAAGAGGAGCGGGTGGCCAAAAAAGATCAGATGATTTAACACGAAGGTGTGAAGCGCTTAAACTTTCTTTGTATTCGCAAGGGAAAAAGCTGTAGAAATTTTCTGTTAAAAGCAACGGAAAGAGTTTTTTCTACCCAGACTTGAGTGTCTCCTTCTTAAAGGTCGGACTCTAAAGATTTCAATTTTTAGCTCATTCATGCTGAAAGCAATGAACGAGGTATTGTGGTGGAGCAGATGTTGACTGAAGTTGTCTATCGTGGACGGAAGTTGTATTCCGCGGATGGAAGTTGCATTGTGGACCGTAAACGGAAGTAGTCTCACTTCGTACCCCTCCCCACTTAGTAAAAGTCAAAATTAATTTCGATGAAGCTCAGAAACTCACGTGAAAAGATTTAAAATGTTTGTATGGTTTAAAAAAAATAATAACCGCAAATCACATTTCCGAACTTCTAAAGATGGAACTTGAATTGAGAAGCCGAAATGTTCACACCTAGGAGACCCGAGCGGTTCATTTCAACACACGCTGTGACCACGCAGAAGGGTATCAGAGGCAGCCATATTGTTAAGCCGAGCATTTGCGTTCGTCTTCAGTTGCTATAAAGTAATCATTGCTTTATCATTGCTCTATCATTGCGCTTGTCCTCCGGAGCTTTTCAACATACAGTTCACACATCAATTATAGCGGCCAAGATAGTTTCGCTAAAATTTTTTTGCGAGCCCCAATATTTCGGCCGGACTTGAGGCTCGCTCGAACATAAACAGCAAAACCAATCCGTTCATTACAAAATGCAGACTGTAGGCCAGGTACATAATGCAGACTTGGTAGAAAATGCAGACTGCAGACCGGGTACAAAATGCAGACTGAGAATTTATACTGTTTTTTATTCTGATACGTGATAACAATCATTATATGTCATCTTGCAACTTACCGGGTGTCATGCAGTCGCTTTTCCGTGATCATTTTTCACGATTATTTTCACTATTGTGGAATATCCCTTGTCCGTTTCTTGATCACAAACGTTCTTAATATAGTTTCAAGCCTTCATATAGTATTCTCCTTTTGCGCGCGAGTTGGTTGGTGTGATGCCTGGACAGAATTTACCAAAGTAGATGTAGATGCAGATGTAAACGAGATGCCACCACCGTATATTTACCCGCGCAGTATTGCATGTGGTCCATACGTTTTATCTTTTTAACCGAGATGTGTTGATTTTGTTGAGAAAAATACGAACCGAGACCAAAACTTTTCCTTCGACTTGATATATCTCAGTGTGTGTACACGTTCAGGGGTGTACACACACTGATTTTCACATATGTGCCTTATATTTTTATT